AAAGAAAGAAAGAAAGAAAGAAAGAAAGAAAGAAAGAAAGAAAGAGAAAAGCTCAAGACTCTAGGGGATACCTGCACATACGCAGCCAAGTCTTCTCTCACCTTACCCTTCCCTCTTGCTCTTAGGCTCTGTCATGGTGTATATGGCTCCTGATGTCCTTCTAGGGCTGGAATCTGAAGGGCTCTTCTTTTCCTGCCACTATGCCCAGTACCCACCTGCTGCCCTGAGCCTGCTGTGGAACTGCCTTAGGTGTTTTTGTCTCTTTGGAGAGGGAGCTGAGTAGAATGGGGAGCTTTTTCCTCAGACAGAAAGGGAACAGGAGAGAGTGGGGCCTGGCAGGATGTTGTCTGACCTGGAGCTAGAGGAAACCTGGTTTCACCATCTTCCAGCCATGTGTCTCTGACACCAGCTCTACAGCTCTGAACCTCAGTTTTCTTTTCTTTTCTTTTCTTTTTTTTTTTTTTTTGAGACAGGGTCTCATTATATAGTTCAGGCTGGCCTAGACTCACTATGTAGCTTAGGTTGGCCTCAAACTCACAGCAATACTCCCGTCTCAGCCTCCTAAATGCTGAGATTACAGGTGTGTACTATCATGCCCGGCTCTAGCCTCGAGCCTCAGTTTTCTTATCTTCAAATGTAGTAGATCATCCTCAGCAGAGTCACTGTGAGAAATTAAGCATAATCACAGTTAGGTGGTTCCCCAAAAGCTGAACTTAGTTACCATATGACCCAGTAATTCCACTCCAGGGATAGACTCAAGAGAAGTAAAAACGTATGCAAACAGGTGTTTGCATATAAATGTCTGTAGCGGTACTATTCATAAAAGCCAAAAAGGAGAAAATAACCCACACATCCATAAGCCGATAAAAATCTGGTCCATCTGTACGATGGAGTATTATTCAGCCACAGAAAGTAATGAAGCACTGACACATACTGTGATGTGAATAAACCTTGAAAACACAATGCTAAGAAAAAATAGACACAAAAGGCCACAAGTTATAGGATTCCATTGATATCAAGTGTCCAGAATAAGCCAATTTATAAAGACAGGAAACAGATTAGGGTTTGCCAGTAGCTGGTAGAGGTGGATGGGGAGTAGCTGCTTAGTAGGTGCAGGTCTCCTCTTTGGGATGATGACAAAATTTTCAAGCTAATGAAAGGTAGTGGTTGCATACCAGTTTCACTGTACTGAGACTGAATTGCTCACTTTAAATGGTTAATGTTATGTGAATTTGCTCTCAGTTAAAACAAAAACATCCCAGTGCAGTGGTGCATGCCTGTAATCCCAGCTTTCTGGGAGGCTGAGGTAGGAGGACCAAAAGTTTGAGCCCCACCTGGGCAACCTAGTGATTTAGTGAGACCTTGTCTCAAAATATAAGATAAAAAAGAAGCTAGGAATGCCACTCGGTGCAAAGGTCCAGGGTTCATTTTTCAGTACTGGTAAAAAAAAAAAAAAAATTCCCACATAGAACACGCCTTCAAAATGAAAGTAAAGATGCTGTCTTGGTTATTTTTCTCATTGCTAAGACAAAATACCCAACACCAAAAGTTAAAGGAGGGAAGGTTTATTTTGGCTCACAGTTCGTAGAAGTTTCAGTTCTTAGGTGGCTGGCTCCAAGGCAGGATGGCAAGGCCGAGGTGCATCACCAAGAGAAACAGTACATGGTGGGCAGAAGGCAGCAAAGCAATGAAATAGCAAAGAAGCAGCAAGTGAAGACAGCAGCCCTCTTTCTGTTCTTATATTCTACCCAGGCTACTCAGGCTTAGGGCAGGTAGCACTCATACCTAGGCAGGGCCTTCTCATTATCTACGCACAGCACTATGCCAAATCAATCAGTGGACCAATTTAGTAAAAACACACCTTGCTCCCAGCATCACCCAGTTAATCCCAGCATCACACACTCTAGATCCAGCCACCTCTGAAAAGTGCTACCTATGACCAGATGAGGCTTTGGGGGGACATCTAGATACAAACCATAATAAGCGTTGAAGGTCAGAAGCTGGGTAGGTAAAGGAGTAGAAGGAAAACATCCCAGACAGAGGCAAAGGATCCAAGTGATAGTGTGGTAAAGTGAGAGGGTGTCATCTCTACTGAGGCCATGATCTGTGGGAAGGAGAGACCAGAAAGCCACAGGGTGGGCAAGAGTCAGGCCTAGGAATCTGGAGGGTACCAGAAATCCTCTGAAGGCTTTAATGATGTGATAAGGTCTAACTTTTACTTGTAAGAGACCACTCTGCAAAAGTGGGTGTAGAGCCAGATGTGGTGGTACACACCTATAGTCCTAGTACTCTGGAGGCTGAGGCAAGAGAATCACTCTGTCTCAAGAAAACAAAAAAAGTGGATGTGGAATATGGGGAGGTTGTTATGGGGGAGAAAGAGTCGGGAAGCAAAAGACAGGGAGGTCAGAGGAAGGGTGAGGGATGGGAATGTGTCCAGATAATGCCCAACTATAACACATGAAGTGTAAGTTGTTAGTGAAGAATTGCCTTGGCCATGAATATGGTGTCCTCTGTGTGGGCATTTGAGAGGCTCAATCTAACTGGGAGCTGGATGTACACCATCAGAGCTGGAGACAGTGTGGAAAGGTCCCAGAGAAAGGCTAGCACTGGATGCTCCGGAACTAGTAGTCACAAGTTTCCAGGGATCCTGTGGGAAGGCTCCTGTATCTGGAGGAAGACAGAGAAAGATCCAGGAGTGGGGCACAATTGTGCAGTTGGGAGATGTTCAGGCATGATGCTGTCAACCATGGAGTAGACATGTCAAGAGGCAGGAGGAAAAGTATCCACTGGATTTGGCAAAGTGAGATGGCTGGAGATCTCGAAAATTTTCACTGGAGAGCTGGGGGTAAATTTGAAGAGTGAGGGGGAAGCAGTGAAGACAGCTTTGTTTTTGGGGTTGTTAGTTTTTTTTTTTTTTTTTCTTTTTTCTTTTCCTTTTGAGACAGGGCCTCACTATGCAGTTCAGGCTGGCCTTGAGCTCACTTTGTAGCCCAGGCTGGCCTCGAACTTACAATGATCCTCCTGCCTCAGCCTCCCAAGTGCTGGGATCACAGGCATGTGCCCCCAAGTCCGGCTCCTATTTGCAAGTTTTGCAAGTTTGGCTCAGTCTAGGTGACTTAGCAGTTTAGGAAAACTTGCCTCAAAATAAAAAATAAAAGAGCCCCAGAAATGTAGCTCAGTGTGGAAGCCCTGGATTCAATCCTCAGTATAAATAAATAATACGAAGAAGAGGATGTAGGGAACGTTTAGGTAGGAAGGTTCCTGGGTCCCAAGGCCTTGGTGGGTGGGCCAGAGTCTTTGTATTAGTCAAGGGACCAGATCAACTCTTTGTGTCACCAGAAGAAGGAGTGGTTGCAGCCATGTTCTTAAGTGTGGTGGGAACAAACTGTGGCAGAGACTGTCTCAAGAATTTGGAGGGACTGGGCATGGTGGCACACGCTTGTAATCCCAGCACTTAGGAGGCTGAGGCAGGATCGCTGTGAATTCAAGACCAGCCTGTGCTACATAGTGAGTTTACAGGTAGCCTGAACCACATAGGGAGACCCTGTCTCAAAAAACAATAACGAAAAAAAAAAAAAAAGAAAAAAAATTTCGGAAGGCTGGAATGGAAAACGAGGCATGAGTCTCTGCAGTTTGAAAAGGGTCCTGGGCCTTAGTAGGGTACCCCAAGGTTCAGGCTGGGGGCTGTACAGGTCTGAAAGTGTTGGGACAAGGGTTGTCAGATGTAGGAAATGAAACTACAGAATGTCCAAGTACATCCAAATGTAATGTAAATGAGTCATAAATTTTATTATAAATATATCCCACGTAGTGCTTGGGATATACTTATATTAAAAAATGTGTTGCTTATCTGAAATTCAAGAGCTGTGAACAAGGGCAGTGCAACACAGTAGCGGGTCAGAGAGAGAATGCGGACCGTGCAACTCTGAGACTTGGGCCTGCAAAACAAGCGCCAGAGTGCCGGGTGCCGAGCGGCGACACGGATGAACCCGCTCCTAGAGTCCATTACATGCTGTAATTCTCCGTAGTCCCCGTCCTAGAATTTTGGTCTCGTCCCACCACCCCTCCCGGCGCCCCATGGTATAGCCGGGAAGACCCATCGATAACTCCACGATCGGACTCGGCCTCTATCGACTCGCTCTGGCTCCCCTAGCCATCCTGGGTCACGGCAGAGCGCGGAGCGCGAGTAAGGTACGGAGGCCGCGGGACAAAGGCCAGGAACTGGCTACTGGGTGGCTAAGAGGGTGAAGCCAAGGGAAGGTGCGAGCTGATGTGACCCAGGGCGGTCAGTGAAGCACCGGGAGCTCATGGTGCGGCCAGACAGAGCCCGTTTCTAGTGGGTCTAGCAACCGGTCAGCTTCGCATGCGCAGCCGGAGCACTTGGCCTTCCTCGCCCCGCCCGCCGCCTGAGCATGCGCATCGTGCCCCTGCGGCAGACGGCGGCTCGCGTGACTGCCCTCTTTTGGGCGCAGGTGGCGTGGCATTCAGCGGGTGCCTGCGAGGGCAAGGGCCTGGGAGGGTAGTGTCCCTGGCTGGCGGTAATCAGCGAATCCTTGAACCTGAGGAGCCTCAGTTTTTCCATCTCTAACGTAGAAATTATAATACCTGTCTCAGAGCAGAAGATAGTTAGTACCCCAGCAGCATCTCCTAAATACCTACCACCTCTCTTCCTGTCCAGATGGTCTAACCTTTGACCCCCTCCAATCAGTTCTCCTGCCCTGGTCGAGACTCGTACTTCCCGGCAGCTACACCATGAACACCTCTCCAGGAACAGTGGGCAGTGACCCTGTTATCTTGGCCACTGCGGGCTATGACCATACTGTGCGGTTCTGGCAGGCCCACAGCGGGATCTGTACACGCACTGTGCAGCATCAGGATTCTGTATCCTCAACCTGAACGATGGGCAGGGTGGTGCTGGGCAGGCCAGATGGTGGGGATGGTGTAGCAGCTCCTTTCAGATAGGGCAGGTAAGAGCCGTGGCTCCAGACTCTTTCTGTCATCCTCCTTAACTGACCCCAGCAGGTGAATGCGCTGGAAATCACTCCAGACCGAAGCATGATTGCTGCTGCAGGTACCTGTGATTCTTGACCTCTGACCCCTGACCTCCCCTTGACTTGGGGAAACCATGTTTCAATTCACTGTGTGTTCTTAGGTTATCAGCACATCCGAATGTATGATCTCAACTCCAATAATCCCAACCCTATCATTAGCTATGATGGAGTCAATAAGAACATCGCATCTGTTGGCTTCCATGAGGATGGCCGTTGGATGTACACAGGCGGGGAGGACTGCACAGCCCGAATTTGGGACCTCAGGTGTTGAGTGCTGGGCAGGAGAGGCATGCTGCCTGGGGGTGAGGGTGGTCAGGAGGGGCTGGGCTTGGGCAGGTTCTCTCCAAGCCAAGGCTGGGCTAGGGAGCTTTGTATCAGTGATTTAGTGAGAGAAGGAGAAAAACCTAGTGGAGTGAATTACATCAAAGAGCTAGCCATGCTTTGAGGCCAGGACCCGGCTTTTCTCCTCTTCAGTCAGTCTCTGGCTTCAGGATACTGCTGGGGCGGGGAAGAGCCAAACCTCTGAGGAGTAGGGAGATTTTCTAGGGAGAGGGCATTTGGTGGGACACCAACAGCATCCTCTAGAGATAGTGTGTGATATCTCCCCCACAGGTCCCGAAATCTGCAGTGTCAGCGGATCTTCCAGGTGAATGCACCCATTAACTGTGTGTGCTTGCACCCCAACCAGGTGAGAATTATTCATGGGGCGAGGGACTCGGAGTCTGAAAGGCAATACCTCACGCTATACCTCACCTACCCTACACCCCAGGCAGAGCTCATCGTGGGTGACCAGAGCGGTGCTATCCACATCTGGGACTTGAAAACAGATCACAATGAGCAGCTGATCCCAGAACCAGAGGTTTCCATCACATCTGCCCATATTGATCCTGATGCCAGCTACATGGCAGCAGTCAATAGCACCGTGAGTCCCCGTACTCCCTGAAAATGGGATGATTTTCCAGTGTCTCTCACGCCCCAATGAGGTTCAAACACCCGCCAGCCACCAGAGCCAGTAATATGGGTACCATTCTTGATGTCCCTTTATCTGCCTCCCATGGCCCATCCAGCAGGTCAGGGAACCTCAGCCGTCCATTTCCCTGTCACCTCCTGGCCCAGGTCACCCTTCTCTGATGCTGACAGTCTCTCTGTGCCCTACCTTTCTTCTCTCTGACCTCCCCTTGCCCTTTTGTCCATTCTTCTTTGGCAGCAGCCTTACTATACCGACTGTACCATTCTGCTGAGGAGATCCCAAGATGGCCTGTATCCTGCCCATGGTCTGCAGGACTCTGGTTTGGGCTCTGCTCTCCCTTCTAGCCTCATTTTTTCTCCCCTAATTGAAATCATCGTGTATCACTTGTTCTACATTCCAGCCTTGCCCTGCCACGTCTCTGTCTGGGTGCCCTCCTCTCCTTTTGCACACCTCTATTGGCCAGTAGTATCCCTTCAGGGAGGTGTGTGTGAGCCCTTGGCCAGTGTGGCTTCCTGATCTTAGCTAGCCAGGTGTGGCCTCTGGTTGGGGCCGGGCCTTCTACAGCCCATCTATATGCCCTGGCCCAGCTCCCTATATGCACTTGGCCCCAAGTGTTGCATCCAGGTTCAACTCCCAAGGTGGCCATCTCTGAGGTTCCAGGTTTCAAGTGACTTCCCTTCTACCCAATAGGGAAACTGCTATGTCTGGAATCTGACTGGGGGTATTGGTGATGAGGTGACCCAACTCATTCCTAAGACCAAGATTCCAGCCCATACTCGCTACGCCCTGCAGTGCCGTTTCAGCCCTGACTCCACGTGCGTGCAAGGCCTGGTGGCCTGGAAGGGATTTTCTTGGGGCTGGGCTTTGATGGGTTGGGCCTACCTGTTGCATGGTAAAGGGTTACAGAGTGGAAGTGATTACCACTTTAGACGCCTGCATCCCTACCCCCAGGCTCCTTGCCACCTGCTCAGCTGACCAGACATGCAAGATTTGGAGGACATCCAACTTTTCCCTGATGACAGAGCTGAGCATCAAAAGCAGCAACCCTGGAGAGTCGTCACGTGGCTGGATGTGGGGTTGTGCCTTCTCGGGGGACTCCCAGTATATTGTCACAGGTGAATCCTACTTCCCCTCCCCTGCCTGGACTTATGGAATGGGCCAGCCCAGCTGCTGCGGCTCCTCTACCTCAGGCCAGCTGTGTCAGACTCCAGGCAGAGCAATTGCCCTATAGGAGGACAGTCACTTATAGGGACTTTGGCTAGGGTAGACGGGTGGACACCTTGAGTCCTGCTGTAGGAGACCCCTGGGAGGCCTAGTCCCAACCAAGAGCTATACCTGGCCCTGAGCTATTGCCTAATCCTTCCCAACAGCTTCATCTGACAACTTGGCCCGCCTTTGGTGTGTGGAGACTGGAGAAATCAAGAGAGAGTATGGTGGCCACCAGAAAGCTGTCGTTTGTTTGGCCTTCAATGACAGCGTCCTGGGTTAGCCTGTACCTTTCAGACTGCGGACAGCTATTGGGTAGTGGGGATGGCCTATGCAGTATCTACAGCTGGATCTTTCTGTGTATCAACTGGTCAGAGCAAAATCCCTGAGCTAGTCTCTGCCTACTAGGTCTACTACCTGAGCAGGCCACCCTGGACCCTCTCAACCAGCCTAGACCTGCTGTGTGCTATAGAACTCCATCAGTGCCCATTTGCTTATCAGAACCCATCAAGCCAGGGTTCACATGCTTGGGCTGGGAGAGCCTCTATTCCCTCCAGAAAGACTGAACCCCTGGGCCTGGAGCCCTGGGGGAACATGAGGCTGGTGCCTATCTCCACATCTTGCTTCCCCTTCCTGCCCTGATCAGATCCCGAGGCCCAGAGAACACCACCACAGCCAGGTGCAAGGGTTTATTTGTCCCTGCCAGCAGTTGCCTTCCATGGTGCTGCTGACCAGCCAACTGGTGGCCTGTGGAGACAAGTCCAGATGGGTCAGGGAGAGGACTTAGTCTGGAAGGTAATAAAAGCAGACGGACATGCAGATGTTGCTTGGGAAGCAGATGTCAATGCAGAGATAGATCAGCCGCTGTCTCTGGGGCCCTGGGGAAAGGCGGGGGCGGGGGGGTCATGAATTCCCAAAGGGCTTCCACTCAGGCCTCTCTACACAGTATCCCCCAACTCACCTTCCACTCGATGGGCCCAATAGATGGGAATCTTTGCACAGAGCTGTTGGACTGAAGCTCCCACCTGGGCAGGATCTACGGTATGGCTCCCATGCACTGCCAGCAGCTCTTGGGCATGGTGGGTGTCCTGGCCAGGGGCATGGGACTGTTGGGCCTGCAAAAAGGCTCTGGTGGGCCATAGCATGGGGTACTTGCCTGCTTCTGGCTGGGTTGGGGCCACACATCCCACCCCAACCTGACAGCCCAGCCATCTGTTATCAGCAGCCTCAGCTAAGGGAAGATAGAGCGCTCTGTTCTCTGAAACCAGAGCCGCAGCTGGCCAGGGCCGGTGGCACACAGGACCCTTTGTCTGGTTCCTGTCCTGGGGGTTGAGCCAAGTGGGGCTGCTCACCCTGGAGGTGTTCACCATTAGCTGCAGGGTCTCCCAATCTTGGGCCTCCATTAGGCGGAGGAAGCAGGCCTGGTGCTCTGCTGGACGGTAGCAGATGCAGCCCTGGGGAAGCAGGTGGGTGAGATGTGGCTTTCCCTAACATCTGCAGTTTGACCCTCTCCCTGTTAACTCACATTTTGCCCATCAAACAGCACTGTCCAGCTGCGGTTGCTTTGAGGTGGAGTCACCATAATGGTTGCCATGTTCCGGACCATGTCCACCAGGGTGGTTTGGTTGAACCTGGGCACCCGTGGGCTTGGGAGAGTCAGTTGCAGCATCTGCAGGAATGGCTGAAATGGGAAGTTGGGAGTTCAGCCAGGCAGGCTTTACAGTCCCAAATGTCCCCAGCCCTGGGCTATTCACTTCTGCATCATTTGAATGGGCTTTCAACCCTTCCGGTCCTCTTACCATTTACTGCAAGGCCAGCGTCATGGCCTGTTTTGGGCCTAGCTCCTTTGCAGGGCTGGCATGTGCTGGTCTTCTTGCCCCCTCCCACTGTGTATACCTTTGTTCCTGAGGATAGGCTCACCTTGGGAGGGCCTTGAGTGAAGCCAAGAAGCCCTCCAGCCACAACCCCTGCAGTGGCTAAGGCCAACAGCAGCAGCAGCAGACTTATGGCTCTCCAGCTCCCATGGCAGGGTTTAGTCTTCACCTAAGGGCACATTGTGGTTAGTGGGGCCATTGGGTTGGAGACCCAAAAGCAGGCTTGCTCAGGGAAGGAAGGTATAGTGGGTGGTGGGCCTCCCAATCCCTGTCCAGGGAATCCCCAGGTCTTTGTCCAGGGAATGGCAGAGGTACTCACCTCTGCAGGACCAGGACCCTCCGTGTAGCTGCTCCTGTCCTCCATGCTACAGCCCCTGCTGACAATACACGATTGTCTGCAGCCCCTTGGAGGATTCAGCAGGGAAACCTCAGGATGCTTCTGATGAGCCAAACAACTGTACCCTCCCTTCCAGACCCGCTGCCTCCTCCCTACCTCAGTATCTGATATCTAGGTCAGAGCCAGGACAACTCCCTCCCCCACTCGGGGGGTGCCACTCACCAGGCCAGGTTAACAGCAGGCCTGTAGAGACCGGAGAGCACAGGGTCTTGGAGGACTTGAGAACTGAGGCCTCAGTGGGAATCCAGTCCAGGTTATTGATTGGGGGTAGTTCAGGCCCAGCCTGGATGACTGGGACAGATTTACTGTCTTCCCATCTGCTACCTCTGGACTCTAGTGCTGGGGACAGAGCCTGGCACACAGCAACCCATCAATAAATACCTGTCCAATAACACTAGTACTGGGCTGTGTACCACTTCCCTCCTCTCCCTTGTGTCCCTAGTTGCTTTCAGCCCCACCACCACCTTAGGCTGTGGACACTCAGCAGAACACACAGGCCTAGCACCAAGGAGGCGACTGAATCAGCAATTGGCACCCAACTGGAGTCTTCTTCATGCTGAGGATGGTCAGTTTGGCTTTGTCCCATCCCCCTGCAATGGCTTGCTTCTAATTCATCCCTACTCACTTGTCACTGGTCCCTGGTCTATCTCCAGACCTATGAGTGCCTATGCTTCATCCTGTGGTCCTGCTCTGGTTTTATGCCTGATTCTTCCAAACTGTTCTGTAACAGGCCTGAAATGGTGTAGGGCTGCAGTAGTCATTTTTCCATATCTGGAAGTGGAACCGTAGCCCAGCTTTTTTTCAGTCCTCCCATCCTGCCCTCACCCCCCTAGCTAGACAGTTGCCACCTGTGGGCAACAGTAAAGGCGAGAGGAAGGAAGGCCCAGTCAGTGCAGGTTTGAGAGTTTAATGTGCATGTAAGGTCACACAGTGCAAGGGGTCAGAGATGGGGTTCACACAGGCTCCCAAGCCGGCTGAAGAGAGGCATTGCTGGCTGCTGCATCTGCTGTGTGCTCCTGGTGTGGGTGACAACGCCCTGACAGGCCTGCTCAATATCCAGACCCACCTTGAGCCGACCTCGCAGAGCCAACGTCAGCACCACCAACCTCACAGGCATGGCTGCCCTCCTGTTGCCATGTGGCACCATCCCAATCCCAGCCACTCCAGCGGGGAGCAGCTGCAGGTGTAGATACCCTTTATTGCTCTGAGAGCTCAGCGAACAGGTGAAGGAGCACTGTGATCACAGGGCTGGGAGAAGCCACTGGATACAGGGTGAGGCACTGGGAAGGAGTCAGCCAAAAGGAACAGCCTCCCAGGCTCTGCCCTGCAAGTGCTGCCAAGTCTGCTCAGCGAGCTGCTAAAGTTCAGCAGCCTTAGGGAACAGACAGAAAAGGCCACAGCCCCTGCAGAAACCCCAGGTCAGCTGGTGGGTCCTGCCAGTCCTCCTACTGACTACCATCCAGGGAATACAAGGCCAGGATGGCCTCACACCTAACCCCCACTGACATCTGACCCCAACCCTGATCCAGGGTACAGGCAGGCAGGGAGAGACTGAATACTTTGTAAAACAACTTCCTGTTATCTGGGACATCTCTTTCCTCCCCAACCCAGAGGGCACCCAGGGTGACAGGCAGTCCTTGGCCAACACACGCCTTTAGCCATGTTGCTGGCTACAAAACATGCAGACTTCTTCAGTGTGATTTCTCCTATGAGACAGAGCACAGCTATTAATCTACATACTTAAAATTCAATTCCACCACTTGACAAAGTTGTTCACAAGTTACAAATTTTTTTTTTTTTTTTTTTTTTTTTGGTACCAACACTGCTCTGAGCTCCCTGCATAGTAGCCCAGAGTTCAGTGAAGGTGTCCATACCCGCCTGTCTGAGTCACCTGGATTTTAATGCATACTTGAGACAGTCGAAGTTTAGCTGGGCTCTGGGCTGAGTTTACAGAATGGGGCAGCTGTGTATGAGAAGCTGCAGCCCGGGGCATCTGAAACGGAACAGACATTGTGACATCAAAGTGGTTTTCAAAGGAAACAGGAGGGGTGGCAAGGGCAGCACCCCACACTCAAGGACAGATTGACACCACTTAGGAGTGGCCTTCTTACTCCCTGCAGATAAGGAGCTGGGACACAGCAGCAGCCGACAGCTCTGCTGCATTACCACACTCCGGGGAGGGGGGGCACAGAGGACCTCCTGTCTGCACAAGGGTGTCACAACAGTCACAATAATCAGGCCCTTCTTTTCTCTGCCCTCCAAGAGGGCTTGATCCCTGAACAAAACTTTTAAATACATGACACACACCTCTAGACCTGCAAGGCCTGAGGTTACCTGAATCCTGGACAGGTGCCAAGCCTGCCCTAGCCAACACATCCAAAGCCCAGGACCCACCCCTACGATGCCCTCCAAGCTTAAAAAGTGCATCTTAAATTAAAATATAAGCATCTGTAAACAACATCGTCCCCGAAACGTTTACTTACAAGGCTAACAACTACTGCCTCCACTTAACTCCAATTACACTCTTCGGCCACATCGCTGAGCCAATGCCTAAGCCCCACCTATTAATTTGGCTAACGTTTTCAATTACTTTTATTCTGGAGATTAAAGACACTAAATCTTTAACCTTGAAGGGCGGGCAAGAGATCGGCTATGCTGTCAACATAGAAGTCAGGAACCATTTTCTTCTTAGACATGCAGTCACTTTCCTGATTACTCTTCACGTCCCCCAGCGTGGAGACTCCCGTGAGGGTCAGGATGGTCTTCAGGCCGCAGGTGACGCCAAGGAGGATGTCGGTGTCCAGGCGGTCCCCGACCATGACCGTGCGCTCCGGGTCGATGCCGTATTCCTGGGACACGCAGTCGAAGATGAAGCGGCTGGGCTTCCCGATGATGTCGGCTTGGCGCTGGGCGGCCATCTCCACCGCGCGCACCAAGCAGCCGGTACCTGCGGGCGGAGGGAGGGAACGGGACGCCGGGGTCAGAGCGCGGGGAGGCGGCGGGGCGGCGTGCCCTCCGGCCTCCCGCCCCGGGGCGCACGGACCCGCGAGGAAGCGGCCGTTCTCCAGGGGGAGCCGGTTATCCATGTTGGTGCCCACGAGCAGGCAGCCGGGCCGCTGGAGGTAGCGCACGGCCTGGGTGAGCTTCATGTAGCTGAAGTGCGGGTCGAAGCCCACCACCACCGCACGCACCTCGGGGTCGAGCGGCGAGGCCAGCCAGTCAGCGGCGCCGTCGCCCCGCAGCGGCTCGGGCCCCACGCCCACGCTGGCGACGCCCACGGCCTGC